GCTTGCATTTCTGTGTTCATATGTTACATTTGTCATATTAATAATGGCAGTGTACAGAACAACATTACATGTTCGGTTAAGAGAAAACAAATTGGTTCCAAGAACTTTCTGGGAGCGTTAGTTTTGGGTTCCCAAAACGTGTATTTGTAACGTTTGTTTTCGGTTATCCAGGAAAGTTTTCGTTATGGAATAGAACGTTTTTTCAGGTTTGCAGAGCGTTCCCCTATTCTCCGGTAACGTTCCCAGAACGTTCCCTTACGTTCTATTAACCTCTTTTCATCATTATGTACAGAGATCCCACCCTGCAAAAACTGATTTCCGGGAGATGGCACAATTTCGTTGGTTATAAAACAAATAACCTGCAGGGAACGTTCTTGGAAGGTTCTCTTTTATAAAATAAATAACCTGCAGGGAACGTTCTTGGAAGGTTCTCTTTTATAAAATAAATAACCTGCAGGGAACGTTCTTGGAAGGTTCTCTTTTATAAAACAAATAACCAGCAGGGAACGTTCTTGGAAGGTTCTCTTTTATAAAACAAATAACCAGCAGGGAACGTTCTTGGAAGGTTCTCTTTTATAAAACAAATAACCTGCAGGGAACGTTCTTGGAAGGTTCTCTTTTATAAAATAAATAACCTGCAGGGAACGTTCTTGGTATAGGTTCTCTGTACCCAGATAGCAAATGACATCTGGCCCAGTTGTGGCCCACATCTCCCACACTCTTCTGGCCCACATACCGCATGGAATGACGTCGATGACTACCGTGGCTGGCAATAGCATACATATCTGGGCCAACTATGGCACATATGGCTCAGTTCTGGCAGAGGTCACATGGGCCACCTCAAGCCCTACACATCAAGCCACAACTCACACTAAAACCGGCTTGATGTGTGTTGCCCAGATACGGCCCATTGGACCTTTGCCGCTGCCAGAACGGAACCATATGTGCCATTGGCGCTTTTCCACTGCTGGTACGGCTCAGTACGGTTCGGCTCGGCGCGACACGGTTCGGCTCGCTTCGCTTTTCCACTGCTGGTACGACTCGGCTCGGCTCGGCACGGCACGGCTCGGCTCGGTTTGCTTTTCCACTGCAGTTAGTATCGCTTCAAAGTGGGTGGGATTATAGTCGGACCGTTATAGTTTATCCGCTCCTCGGCAACCAACGAGACGAACGTCTGCACTTCGTCCACTGACCACGATTCAGCCATTTCTTTTTTATGGAAGTTTTCTTTCTTTCTTTTTTCTTCAAGCAAGTCAAGCAAGTAGTTTTAAAACAGGTGCTACAGCGGTGGCTGTTGTCTACTGGCTATTTAAATCGAGTGGGTTTAGTGTCTCGTGTCGCAAATACAATGACGCTGATAGTGACGATTCTGTCTCTCTGACCAATCAGTGATCTGTAGTGTTTTCACGTCACATTTAGTATCGGTACGGTACGCTTGGAGCCTCAACAGAGCAGGTACCATTTAAAGCGAGCCGAAGCGAGCCGTACCGTACCGTACCATGCAGTGGAAAAGCGCCAAAGCGTGCCGTACCGAACCGTACCGTTCCATGCAGTGGAAAAGCGCCAATAGTTGGCCCAGATGAGGCCCGTATATATGTATGCTATCTGGGTAGGTTATAAAATAAATTAGCAACAGGGAACATTCTTGGGAGATTCTATTTAGGTTATTAAATAAATAGCCTGCAGGGAACGGGGAACATTCTGGGAAGGTTCTCTTTATGTTGGAAAAAAAAGAACCCACAGAGAAAGTTCCTTTCAAACATATGGGAACATTAGGGGAACGTTCTGTGTTTGCTGGGTAGGACCCAATATTAGTGGCCCCCATCCACTTTCATATAGAACGGTGCAGCATGAACTTTCTTCAAAACTTCTCCTTTTTTCAGAGAGTAAAGAAACACAGATGGGTTTGGAACTTGAGGGTGAGAAAATGATGACAGTATTTAAATTCTGTTTTAGCTTTAAGGCATTAAATCACACTAATGAAGTGACAGTTCACACAATTTAAGTTGTTACATGTTTCCTTTTTTGTCTATCCTGTCATGCAGGCTTCATGCAGACAATGGCTGTTAATTTTCACTATTAGCTGTCAGATGTGCTCTGTTGTCAGTTGATTTGTCATCTTTCCCTATACGCTTATTCAACCCAAGTGCTGATAACAACATGAGAACACGGAGAGAAACATCTGCAATCTCTTCACAGCTTTTTAACCACATCAAGCAAATGTGAAAAATATGGCCATTGTTTTTTTTAACAGGTAATATCTTTTAATACCAGACCAGAACATAATCACATAATTGAACATTTTTTGATTGTTCATCTTTTTGCTTGTGTCTCCAGGGTACATTAGCTATTTCTTATCAGCACTTGCGTTGAATGAGCCATGACACCTTCTCTATGCTGTGAATGTTTGCTTTGCCTTTTTTATGAATGGTTCCAATAGACATCATCATAATAACTATGCAGAACACTAGATTTTTTTTGGACTTCAAAATCGTTAATTTACAAGGTGAACTGTCAAATGGCCTGTCAGAGAATCCCATAAACCTAATAGGTTGAGATAAACGCTGTTTACCCACACATGCCTTTAAACAGTGCCCTTTACCTCCCCTTTAATTAGGTGTTGAAAAAATAACAAGATGTTAATGAATAGCGTTGTTCCTCGTAGCTATGCCTAACAGAAAGTCTTTCATTATTGCGCACTCTTCCATCTTCCTTTTCCTCCAGCAAATATAGCCAGCTGCCATGTAAGACGCAGAAGATTTACCTCCCAATCTTCAGGAGTTTGATAAGGCAGCCTCTCACAACACTTTTTCTGCCATTTGACCCTGTGCTGGGAAATATATTAACACCGCTGTATCTACACAGGGGGATCAGGCAAGTGCTGATGCTTTAGAAATGCAGCAGGCCTGATAAGAAGCAGTGCATTGCTGACATGAGCTTCCCCAGCAGGCCACAAACGTCAATGTCCATTTGGCTTAAAGATATACTATGTAACTTTACACTATGTGATCTGTAAAGAAAACTGCATGTGTTTTGCGGAAGAACATTGTTTTGGTTGTGCTTCGGCTGTGCATGACTGCGGATTAATATAACCCTTTAAAAAAGATAATGCTTTACAATTAACTCTGTTAGAGAGCTACAAATGTTAATGTATCTGTTCAATAAGATACCTTACTCACCTGTAATAACAACGCAATCTCTGTCGCTTCAAATCCCTTAGTTCTCGCTATCTCTGAATAGCCAAGCCATTTGATTCTTGTTTTATTACGAGCTCTGTCGCGTTCTCTTTTTGTTTGCAGACTCTCCTCTGTTCGCCGTTTGTTTAAAACAGATGATTCATCATGATCCATGTCAACCTCTCTCTCTCTCTCTCTCTCTCTCGTAAATGCGCCTCTATAGCACACATTGTGTATTATCGTGCCATTTATACGCAAAAATGAGTTTTTTCGTGCATATGATAAGCAGTTTTCGCGTGCATTTGATACGCAGTTCATTTACGTGTAATACACACGCACCCCACACCACTACTAAACCTACCCTAACCAACCCATGCGTATCCTATGCACATAAAAACTAATTTTCGCGTATAAATTACACTATAAACACACTGCATGCTATAGAGACGCATTTAGTGTGATCGGACCATACAACTTTTCTCTCTTACAAATATGACGAGACACACGCATGGACGACTGCCGTATGTACCCAATTTCCCATGAAAACTAATATAAAATATAAACACTTATATTAGGCTTACCATGATAAATCAGGGTAAGACAAAAACACCTTTGGAAGAAAGATTGATGATGTATTGAATCATTATTTAAATTTGCTTAATTTTGAAAAACAACAAAAATAAGTTACATCGTGTTCCCTTAAATATGCTTTATATTATTCAGTGCGTATGCTGCAAAAAGGTGTGTATAGATTTATATTTTATATGTAATGTATTATGTTAAATGTCGTTAAATAGCAAAAACATTTATGAAATGTAAAACATATAATTAGCCAATAGATTATTAATCAACTGAGAAAAAAACCCTCTTAATACACAAGGCAAAAACTTTTTGTCTTGATTTTTTTCCATACATATTCAAAGGTCAGTAAGATTTTATTTTTTAAGAAGTTAAAACTTTTATTTAGCAAGGACAATTGATCAAAAGTGACAGTATAACATTTATAATGTTACAAAAGATTTATATTTCAAATAAATGCTGTTTTTTTTTGGTGCTTTCTTCTTCATCGAAATAACTTTCCATAAAAATATTAAGGAGCATAGCTGTTTTTACCATTGATAACAATAAGAAATGAACACAAAATCCACATATTAGAATGGTTTCTGAAGGATCATGTGACACTGAAGACAACAGTTAAACAGTTATTTTAATTTGTAATAATATTTCACAATGTTAGGCTGATGACCCCTCCACCTTAATTTTTCCCCTGACCATAGATAACATAAACTCTCATTTCAGCAATTTTGATGAATGGCTACGCTATTTTTAATTTTGTCATTTCATCTGGATATTAACATTTGTGAGCATTTAGTAAGCCGAACCCGTTTTGAGGTTAATTTTTCTAATTTTGTGTATCTGGAAATTAGTGATGACATTGACATTGTATTATGTTGAATATAACGTTTTTGTGTGTCTATTTGTGGACACATGTTTTTAGATTTGTGGAGTAAAAGTTATAGTAAAAAGATCAAATTACAATTTATTAAATTATTTATTTATTAAATAAATTATTAAAGATCAGATCACTTGGTGAGCATAAACGACTTCTTGAGAGATTTTGTTTTAAGAAAATAATACTTTTATTCAGCAAGGACACATTGAATTGATCAAAGGTGTCAGTATAGCCATTTATAACATTTCAAAAGATTTAAATTTCAGGTTAATGCATCATAGTTAACACAAAAATATGAATCAGCATCACTGATCTGCTACACAACACTTCTGTAGGCCTATTTAATCGAGCACTCATGCACGCGCACACGCGCGCACTGCTCTGCTCGTTGAGTGTTTACGGTAGCTCGCGCCTCTAGCCCTGAGTGAAACTCGTAGTTTATTCTCTCATTTCATCAGCGTGGGAACTGGGAAGACAGCTCTTTCCTTCTTTCGGAGTCGTTCCCGTACGTCACGTCAAGATTATGGGCTTTGATTTAGACCGTTTTGAGGGTCCCGTGGACCCGGACTTAATCTGTAAACTGTGTGGGAAAGTTTTAGAGGATCCTCTCAGCACTCCGTGCGGACATGTCTTCTGCGCCGCGTGCGCTCTACAGTGGCTCTCCAAAGTCAGCAGCTGCCCTGTCCTGTGCCAAAAAATCACCACTAAAGAGTTGAACCACGTCCTGCCCCTAAAAAACCTAATTCTCAAGCTGGACGTCAAATGCGACCACCGTGAACGAGGCTGCAACCGGGTGATGAAGCTCCAGCATCTTTCAGAGCATGCGGAGATGTGCGACTTCTCTCCGGTCAGATGCAGGAATGAAGGATGCGACGCGGTGCTCATCCTGAAGGATGTGGCTTCACACATGCGGGAGAGATGCGAGCACAGGGCGGTGGAGGTCTGTAAGGGTGGATGTGGACTGGCGCTGAGCCTCAAGGAGAGGTCGGAGGACCACAGCTGTCTCCAAGCACTTAAGACACACAGCTGTCTCCTCCAAACCAAAGCGCTGAGTCTGGAGGATGAGCTGAAGAGTCAGTCCCTGAGCTTCAGTAAGAGAGAGAGGTCTCTCCTGTCCAAACTCTCCGCACTCCACTGCGAGCTGCACATCACAGCGCTCACATTTCAGAAGAAAATCACCGAGTACAAGAGCAGGATTGACTCGCTGTCAAACAGATGCCTGTTGCCTCTTGATAAGGTCAGTATCGTGATGTGGTGGTGCGAATGGAGTGAACAACACTGTAAAAAAAAAAACCAGACATCTAAATCTTGAAGAAACGTTTATGTGTAAGTCAAATCAAAGTGGAAACCTGCTGTGAAGTTTATTCCCTTTTCGCTTTGAATTGAATTACGGATCTAAGAATAGGCTACTTTTAAAAACATATGAAACTAAATTAAATGGATGGAAACAAAGATATTGTCATAACATGATGTGAACATTTTGACAGCGAGGCCATGGGACCCCTCAAAAGTACAGATTAATAACTGGAAAATTATGACAAGGCCTATTAATGTTTTGAGGAAAGACAAAGAAACAAGTATTTCTTTTGAAATATGGAATATTATCTAAAGCAAAAAGCCATCTTCGGTTTTACAACATGTAGGCTATTGGCTTTCACATAATTTCTAAAAACAAATGTAAACAAAGGCCTACATTTCCAAACTATCTGAATGGCGGATTGAAATTGCAGTTAAAGGGATAGTTCACCCCAAAATGAAAATTATCCCATCATTTACTCAACCTCAAGCCATTTGTATATGACTTTCTTCTTTCAGCCAAACACAATCGGAGTTATTAAATAATATCCTGGCTCTTCCCAGCTTTGTAATGGTATTGAATAGAGTTTTTGAATCTCCAAAAAGTGCATCCATCCATCATAAAATAACCCATACAACTCCAGTGGGTTAGCAAAGGCCTTCTGAAGTGAAGTGATGGGTTTTTATGATGGATGGATGGACTTATTTGAGCTTCAAAATGCAAATTACCATTCACTCCCATTATAAAGCTTGGAAGAGCCAGGATATTTTTTAATATAACTCTGATTGTGTTTGGCTGAAAGAAGAAAGTCATATACACCTAGGATGGCTTGAGGGTGAGTAAATTATGGGATCATTTTCATTTCTGGGTGAACTATTCCTTTAATATATTGTATAATATTAACACTTGCCTCAAGAGCTACAACAAAAATATGAAGATGTTTTAGATATTACGGGATGGCATATTGGGTCCTGTATAACCAAAGTTAGCATTAGCATACCAAAATCTACTTTTTACCTTAAAATATACTAATAACCAACATAATTAAATCGACAATAGAAAGCCACATGATGAATCAGTTCATCTTCAGTAGCCTGTCCATAAACCATGACCAATACTCATATATAGACGTTTACAGGGTCATACAAAGACTATAATCACATGTGATGTGTCACATAGGGACATCTGTTTTTTCTGCATTTTTACATTTGTTTGTCCTGTCAAAATACAAACATTGTTTACAATGAATGTACAGTAAGAGATTCTACTGAAGACTCTACTACAAAACAACTCTGGAAGCCTCTGATTTGACATTTCTCAGTACTCTCCCTTCACTAAAAACACTTCACTGCCACCAAGCCAGCATTGTCAGTTCGTTTTCATGTCAGTTTAAAGCATTCACACTTGAACGATCTAGATCTGAACAAAAGAAACAAAACTCGATCGTCTTCATTCTGTATTCAGATGCATAATTATGCTGTCTCTCGTCTTATGCAAGCAATCTGAGTGGATAGTCTGTGAAACCAACAAACTTAAGACATAAGTCTAACTGAATTGACAGGAGGCATGTCTTGTGGACTTCAGGGACATAATACGTCAACAAAAGAGTCCGTTCTTGTTCTCTCGGCTCGCTGTGGTTGAGTCAGACTCTAATCAAGAGCTCATGATGTTTGTCTCACTCATTGTGACAGATTTCCGCCTGCAGCTGCTGTTTCAGCTGGGGATGTGTTTGATAGACAACTCACTTAAGTTCAGATATTAGAAGGCTATCTTAAGTCTGTCATTCTTGAAAAGTCACAGGCCTTTGCCTTGATTTCCACTCGGGCACGTCTGCTTCATGACAGCTGATCAAACCCAGAGAGACATTTTGATGTCCGTCATAAAACTGTAAATATGGATTTAACTTTACTGTTTTTTCCTTCTACTTTACAAATATTGCTGCAATTAAATATGCAATTAAATAAATTAAAAAGTTTAACAACACCTAGGGTACAAAATAAACCTTTTTCCACACCTGCTGCTAAAACAAACCTCCCATCCATAAAACTACCAGATATTTGTATTTTTACCCTGATCTCAAGGAAATAAGTCTGGTTTATTTCCTCTGTAATTTCTTGTGTTGTGAGTGTGATATACACCTGATATGAATTATTTTTAGACATTTATAGTACCTTTGTGGTTTTGCCAGGTGTCTCTGAGGGTGTGATCTGTCTTCACTGCTTGATATATGAAAATACCCTGAATCTCATGTGGCTTTGCCGTTTCATTGGGTAACTAATGGAGAGAGCCCCACTTCTTAGGGGAGAGATGGTTAGTGTGGTCAGTGAAGCTGTGTTGAAACCTGCTGTCTGTTGCAGCGTATGAAATATGTCTTTTCTGTTTCTCTCTTTCTGTCCCATTCCAGGGAGAAGATACAAGGAGCCTTAAAGTCACCCTACACAGAACATCAGGATCTCTTGGATTCAGTATCATCGGAGGAAGATTGTGTGAGGTGTGTAAGCTTACTTTGCAAAGAACCTTGTATAATATAGTTTTTAATCATCATTTTCTTTATTCCGTCATTTATATATATATATATAAATGACAGAAATAGAAAGATAATGCTATGAAATGCATGTAAAGTGTAAAGTTCGTCTTAACTCAACCAACCCCTCCATTGTAAGAAAGAAAAACAAAATCAGCAACTAAGCCACATGTAAAAAAGATAATTGCAGATTGCACTATTTGAGCTCCACACATTTCTCTCGAGTACACTGTGTGAAAGGCGAGCGTGGGAGCCATTAAATTCTCACATAGATTGTGTCCAAGTGGAGAGGAGAGAGCAAGCTGTGGGTTTGGCTTTCACTCACATCACATTCTCTTCTCTAATCTAGTGGAGATTCACCACAGGCTGTTTACCACCTGTTCACTCCTAATGGACAGCCACAGTTAACCTGTTTTTCCTGCAAGTTTATCCTTGCTGTATATACATTGATGCATAGAGAGCGTACCCTTGAGTCAGGCTCATGATCCATTCAGAATTTAATTGAATGCCTTTTACATTGTAATTTAATTCCCAGAATGCTCTAATTTACGGAGCCAAACAACATGAAGTGGTGTACAAGATAAAAACAGAAAAGTCCTCGAACATTGTGTTGGACTAATTAAAGTCTTCTGTTGTGTAACTGTTAAATTTTTTTGAATGAAAAAAAAAAAAATGACATACCAATCAAGCAATTTTTTTTGCTTTGTTTTGTTTCGAAGGCCAATATTTGAAGCCTCCACTTCCCCTATATTTCTGTTATTTCTGCTGTAATTATGTAATGATGGCAAAACTCCTTGTTTTCGAACTTCTTTAATGACAGAAACTGAGTTTTGATATATTAAAGTGCCCCTATTATGCTATTTTAAAGTTTCCTAATGTTGTTTTGGAGTCTCCTACAACAGGTTTACATGCATCAAAGGTCAAAAAACTGTTTCATTTCCTCATAATATACATTTGCACATCACCACATTTTCAATGATTCTCAAACGACTCGTGAGATGAATCAATCTCGCTAAATCCCTCCTTTCCGCGAGCACCTCTGCTCTGATTGGCCAGACAGACAGCTCAGTCTGTTGTGATTGGTCTACCGAGTACAGCGCGCGTGTCGAAAACAAAAACGCCCATTGCCATAACAACGTCAGCTCTGCGTGTCCTGAGGCTTCCTACACGGTGGACTAAACACAGTAACGAACAATGGCGTCGAATTTTACCATATCAATGCGAGCACGAGTACGAGTACGATGATGAAACATTGGAAGAACTATTCATTCAACCCGAACCTCCATCGCAAGGACGACTAGAGCAGGACGTTTCTTAGTGATACGCTACTTAGTTTGAGGTACATTATGAGATGTTGCAACTGTAATTCCTCACCATCAGCATTAACAAGTGCATGTCCATCAACAAACCGATTATTTTACTTGTACTAATGAGTATTTTTCTAATATATTGCGGTGAACACATGGAAACTGTATGAAATACTTGTTAGTGTACATAGCGTGAATGACTGATGCAACATAAACTTTTGTAAAACAAATCTTGCTCCATGCTTAATCTTTACTCAAAGTAGTGAGAACGGCAGACAATCTGCATTAATAGACACTGGTATAGGTAATAGTGGCCTACAACTGATAAGCAGAAGTATTAATAATGTGAGTTAAACAGTAAGCAGGAGACCTACACAATATAAAATTAAAAACTAAGTATTTCGAACACCATCTTTCATGAGCAAGCGGTTTGCGAATCCTGCATTGAACTCCGAGATTTGAGAAGCAGTCGTCAGTAAAATAAAGGGAACACAGCAAAAGTTTAGGATTACACTGCTGTGATATCGTGGTAAAGATGAATTTTAATCACTGATTCGTCACATGCTCGTCCTTGGGAAGTGAAAAAAAACTGGCTTTACCTTCACATTGTAGAGCACAGCTTCTTCTCGACATGACGCTGTCCAGTATCCACAGGAATCAGCTACAGGTTTAAGGTTCAAGTTTTCCCTGGTGTCTGCGCGCACAAAAAGTGCTGGCCGGGCAATATGCTAATGTTTCGTCTCAACGTCACAATGAAACAGCTCGACTCTTACTTTTGAAAGACAATAACTTAATATACGGTGCACGTTCAGATTCAAAACTTTGCAGGATGTTTTCATTCACTTAGAGCTATGTTACACACTACATGAAAGGTCATTTTCAAAAATCCATAATAGGGGCACTTTAAATGAATGTTTTCGTGAAATGTAAAAAATAGCTATTGATTTTTAATTATTAGCTATTGATCTAAAAGTAATTGGCAGGTTTTTAATTAATTAATAGTTTAGACATACCATAATCCTCTCTGGTCACAACCTGTCGGACAGTCCCGAAATCTAAGCTGTTGCCCCGAATCCGGCCCTAATTGTCCCGAAAATTATACTAAAGCAAAATCTTGAGTAGTTATTGTCTGATAAAACATTAAAAACTGTCCGTGAGTTGAGTCATCCTGCAGCCAGCCCTCGGCGGCTGCTCATTGAAATGTTGAATACAAACACAGAGGTTTTTCAGATTTCCGTTGCGCCGTTCTCTCCGTATTTACGATTCTTACAACGCGCTGGATCCTTCACTGAAACCAAAAATAGCTCCCACTAAACTTTCACTCTTTGAATTCTTGCACCCGTGAACAATACAAGTCGACACCACTATGACTAAAAGTTTGCTAAGAAGTATTTCCTACTAAAGGGTATTTGACTCAAGCATATCCAATAGGAGCAGACTGGTGGGAGTGGCCTTGGACAGAAACATTCCCAGTGCATTATGGGTGTTGAAGTTTTCCTACCTATTTGGCAAAAGGGAAGACAGTAGCCTTTTTTCTCTGTTTTCTCTAGTCAGGTAACACAGATTTCAAAAGTGTTTTCGCCTTTCAACTGTACAGAGAGCTAAGTTTTATTGAAAGCCAATTTTGCCAGCGGTGAAGTACCCCTTTAGCTTGTCTAATTTTCAACATTTGCTTCTATCTAAGGAACCAGAGGAGCATGAAGATTTCAGTGATGGGATCTATATATCTAAGATAGTGGAAAACGGAGCAGCTGAGAAGGCCGGACTGCATGTTCATGACAGGATCATTGAGGTTTGTCATTGATGTGGATGAGTTGATTTAATGGGTGCAAAATGTATTTTCAAATTGCATATAGCGCAGGTGATTTGCACAGTTTGTGAAGATTTTTCTTAGACAGGATGAAGGCCAACATGCTGGATGCAATCAAACTCAAAAGGGTCACCAAGACAACGACTAGACAGATGAAAGCCAAAGTAGATAGACATCATACCGCTAGTCTGAGCTCCTCAACTGGTGCCAATGTTTTCACAGTCTGTCTGTTAGATTTGTCAGATCTAGTCAGACTAACAATGTTGGCGCCATTGTAGGTTGATTTCACACTGGGCAGATTCCTTTAAAAAGGGTGTTAGTCTGTTCATCCAGCAGTACTGTGTCAGTTATTCACATCTAACAGGAACAAAATGTTTCATCTAACAAAAGAGAACGTTGTCTATACGGGCACATAACAATGACAACACAACATCAAGATTTAGTTGCTTGTAAATATCAACAAAAGAGCAAACAAAACCTCATCTCGCATTGAATGTCTAAGAAAAAACCCACGTTTTTATCGAGTGGCCTCTTATACAAGCAGAGCAGAGCAGAGCACGATGATTTCTTTCTTGACTCACTTTGTCTCATGTGGGCTCTTTGCTGTCTGTCTGACGTGATGAACATAACAATGGCAGTAGAGCCTTTTGAAATCTGTGCATCACACCAGAGTTGTTCCCCAAAGAATGCATGATACAACTGCTAGTTTCAAAGAGCTTTTGTGGTGGTCTCAGGGCTCCCCTTTATGAACTGAGAAGGTACAGTTGGTTCTGATTTGTCGTTTCAAATCTGCATGATGTGTTTTTCATGACATACAAAAAGAGAAATGATAAATTATAATAATAAAAACAATTGATATGACTTCTATGCTGTATTTCAGGTTTTCTGAAGTCACGAGATTGGATTTTCCATAAATAATACACAGCTATTGTACGGTTGATTGAATGCTTGGAATATAGCTCACAAAGTCAAATAGACTACTTTTATGGTGCTTTTTCTTGATATTCATGAACATAATGAATATTAGACTACCTCAATCGGCACTGTGTATGCATGGCTATATAAGCAGAGCTCGACCAAAAAAAAAAGAAGAAGAAGAAAAAATCCGCTTGAGATTTTTTCCTCTTTCCCTGCCAACATTGTCACCTTCCCTAACATACAAAAATGTAGTATTTTATATGACCATTCTACACAAATGTATCATTTTCCGCCATACATTCACAAACCCTTTTGACAGAAAATGATGGCATACATGGCAAATATAATGATACTGTGGCTGAAATGAGCATACAACGAAGAATAAACAGGAACAGTCTTAATTTTTACTAACTAACAGTAACACACAGGAGATCGCTGGAGAAGTCACATAAACACAACCACAATACCTGACAATGAAACAAAGGAAACTAAGGCAGGCCACACACTTGAAGATTTTAAGTCCGATTTGCAACCTCCAACGATCTAGGGGGTGTGGCCCGATTCTAGGCTTCTCGCTACCGACTTTATGTCCAAAAAAATCCTCAATTGTGCGGTGTTATTACAATTATTTTACTGCTCCCGATCACGCGTCGGAGCCAGCACAATCCCAAATCGTAAATATCAAACATGTTTGTTATTTCCGACTCCTAATCAGGCTGCCTCTGACATGATATCTGCGATAGCCAATGAGTATTTAGAAAGAAGATCGCACATATTATTTTTTCTCCTTTGTTTTTCTTACCATAAAAAAAACTCATGCCTGGAGAACCAGCTGACGACATGGATCGTCCTCTATTTGTTTTTCTTTTCGAGTCACATTTGATCTTGCGAGTCTCCATGAGATATCGGCCCACTGTGGAAATGTTACTGCAATCGACAGGTGGTCTCGTGGTTCGGACAAATCTTCTAGTGTGTGCATTCAGAGGATTATAATGCTAAAAATCGGTTGAAACTGCCCTTATGTCTGTGGTCTCCCACAATTTTTAAATCGATTAAGATTTGAGAATCGTCTAGTGTGTCCCAGGCCTAAAGGCTTAAATACATGGAAGAGTAATCAACTGAACAGAAACAGGTGCGTAGAACTAATTATCAACCAAGGAAACTAACTAAGGAACACAGGCAACCCAGAACAGGGAAAAAAAACAAAACACAATGAAACTAAACCAAAACATAACATACATGTTACAGCAAAACATTACTGTTTCGTTTTGTAATTGTTAACTCATTCTTCCGGAAAAAAACTGAGAAGCAGAATCCTTGAACTGTCACAGAAAATGCCACAGAAAACCAAACGTTTATGTTTTCAAGGTAAAAAAAATGCATGTATATTCAAAAAATGTAGCGTTGGCCTAATATGGCTTTTTTGTTGAGCCCAGATTAGCATTTGTTTGTTTGTTTTCTGTGCTTTTAGATGTGTGGTATAGCAGGAAAATCTGCATGCTGCTATGACAGTTAGATGTGTTTGTGAATGGATTAACTTAAGGCTTTCTTGCATGTACCTAAAGACATGCCCAGGTGATTCACATACTGTAAACATGTTTGTGACGTCCTGTAAATCTGGACAAACAAACTATTGGAATGTTTTTCTCCTGAGTTATGCACGGGCAGGACAGGGGCAAGCACGTTATACTCCTCCCTCAGGTTTTGGGGTTACGAAAGCATTCCTCCACTGATACTTTCATTAAGCACACCGGTGTGTGGTGAAAACTATTGCGGCGAGCCAATTCAGAGGTTAAGACCACCAGCTTGGGAGGTCAGCGTCAGCAGGACAGCAATGATATTTTAGCCTTCAGTGTTTATAAAAGGTGCTTTGAACTCGCATCTCACGTTAGGGGGGCTGTTGCATCCTACAGGAAATCTAGGTTAGAAGGAGGCGATCTGGATCAGACGGGGTTTGGAAGAAATAGGAAATATGTTTGGAGGGAAATTATTTCTAGAACTTGATTTTTGATCTTTTTCTCTGAAGAAAATAGTCATTCTCAGGCTTGTCTTTGAACTTGACAGACCTAAAAGTGTGAAAGAGATTGTCAAGAAAATCACTCATGTGCCTGTATATTGTCAGAAAACTCATGATCCATCAGAGAAAGCTCGTGGTACCAAAAGGAGACTGTCCTTTTTATGCGATTATGTCTAATGTTCGTTTATTCTAAGGTCTATCTCATTTGAGAAACAGTGTCGAGAGCGAATTCTTTGATCTCGGTGTGCCGTGTTTATGTGAGTTAAACCCTGACACCGCCTTTCTCGACTTCAAATCTCCAAATGCTGCTTAGAATAATCGCAACACGTGGTGAATTAGATTTAAGGTGCAGGGAAAAACATCAGAAAGGATCATGGAAAGATTAGAGGAATGAGGAAACAGGGCTCTGACAATGGTCATTGTGCCGAACGGAAGCTCGGTGAATGAAGGTAATGCAAACTGTGTTTGGCCTTAGGAATGAAAGCTGTGCTGTTGTATAGACACAGACAGTATGTTACATAGTACAGCTGCAGTTATTTCGTATGAGTGGTAGTGTCTATTTTTAAATAGAAATTTGTGAATTAACATTTTCGTCAGTATGCTTGTTGATGATATTGAGTTAGTATGATGTATCTGATGGTTGTGATCTAAGATAGTAATGACAGAATGCTGTATTATCTGTGTGTGGCTGCATCTGATGTTTTATGGCAGAACAATTCAAAGTATGGACATACCATAGTTAAGCCGTTTCTAATGAAGTCACGATGATTGTGAAATGTTCTTCATATTCAAATGCAATAAATGTGCTGTAATTATAGTTAAGTGTGTGTGAAACTAATGAGATTAAATTGAGGAATGTGTGGACATGTACAACTCCACATACTGTAGCTGTAGCAAAAGATGTATTAGACTCAAATAAAAAAACAGCAGTACAGTTTATTCCAAACACATGTTTTAGAGTGATTATAAAATCACAGGGATGTTAAATGTAGATGTTCTGTGGTCCTGTTGGGCCGTATGAGGACATGCGATAGCTTTGCCCTATTTCAGACTCTCTTCTGTCTACTGTTGAGGGCAGTTCTTTTAAAATCACCATGAAATTAACAATTGGCAATTCTTGCTTTTTTTATGGAATTCTGCAGTATTTAGTCTATTAATGATTTGTCCTTGCACATCATCGTTATCCTCTTAATCGAGAATATAATAAAAATATAAGTCCTTGGATGGTAATGAGTGCACTTTTGTCAAGGAAATTTGATGCTAATATTTTAAGATTTTAGCTTTCTGATATCTGCATAGGAAATATTCACATCTCAAGTGAAAGTAGAATTATGTTGTTAGCTGTGGTGTAATGGCAGAAGGTATTTTTACTGTAACTTCTAAACTCATTGCATCCAAGTGCAGATCTCACCACACCTGACATCTAGAACAGATCACAGTCATGTGGTGCATTGTTGCTCTGTCATAAACGCTTAATACCAGATGTGTATTGACTGTTTACCTACGTCATAAAACATTCAGATGGAATGAAGATCAGAATTGACATAAGATGATTAATGTGCATGGTATGGTAATCTCAAAATAAACATAAACAAAACCAGCGAGATCAGCATTCACGTGATGCAATAAATGTCTTCCATGCAGATTTATTATCATTCCTTTGGTAATTCATCATCAAATTATGCATGTGTTGTTTTGTTCTGTCATGTGTAAGAGATAATCTGATGTAAATATTATGTGTCACTGGACAAATGTACTCAAAGTTTTAGTAGTCACATTTAATGCCAGAGTGAATTCTCTTTCACTAGGTTCTTAACCTTTCTTGTGTTCATCTAAGACCCACAATTACAAAACCATGTAATATGCTGCTATATTTACTGTTATTCTTTCAAAGACACATCAAAGTGACAAAAGTTTTTTTTTATATTAATAATAGCAGTAATAATAGTTGGCGGAAGCAATGGAAGATATTAGTAATTAACGACCAAAAAATTGTCAAGAAAATCAAAGCACACTTTTGTGATAAAAATATATATGAACGGAAATAATTGCATTTTATTAAAATGTCTTAACC